CAGCCAGCGTCTGCTCGGGGTGCCCGGCGGGGTTTGGTGTGTTGGCTGCGGGTGCTGTAACACAACCTGCACCCGAACCCTGCGCCCATTCCTGCAGCGACGCCTTTGGCACCTCCTGCACCGGTCCTGGGGGGGAAGGAGACGAAGGGAGCATCTGTAATTTTGGGTGGCATGCCTAAAATCTTTAGTGTAAGCCAAGCACACTGAGTGAGGGAATGCCTGCAGCCATCTCACCTTTCTGAAATACTAATGGATTGTTTCAAAGATGCACGGCAACCTCCAGGGAATAACATATAATTTTTCCCCCCTGAACGTGCCAAGGGCCCGTGAGGACCGATTCCAGCACAGCTGCTCCTAGTTAGCTCGCAGCTTCAGGAGGTCCAGGTTTGATTTAGGGACTAACCTTAACGCTCTTTGTTCATGACACCTGGCTGGTGGTGACAGCTGATTCATGGCTGCCTGGCAGAGGCAAAATAAATCTCATACTTCTGTGCTGGGGGGTTGACTACAATCTCAAGGTATCCTTTGTCCAAAGATCTTGTAACTCAGGATGGCCAAACAGCCCCACACTGATGCTGGCAAAATAGTTAACCTCAGCCTTCTACCCTTTTTGAAATAAGGATGTGCCGTCAGTATCTCAGAGCCACTTTTCTGCCATAATTGGCACTTAATGCCCTTGGAACGCCAGCTCGGGGCTGCAGCGGCTCCCGGGCGCGAGCCGGGGGTCGGGATCAAGGCAGCCAGCCGGCAGCGATGCCGGGGCGCGCGGCGAGCTGGGGGATGAGGAGAGCTCTTCGTTTTATTTATGAATCGTATCTTTCAGTCAGGGGGGAAGGAAGTTTCATGATGCTTTGACAAGTACAAGCTCTAAGAAACTGAAAGTGGTGTTTGCAGAGTCTAACCACAATGCTTATTTTTACAAAACGTGGAGGCAAGAATAACTCCTGCTCTTGCTGTATCCTTCTGGGGAAACTTACGGTTTACGGGGAAGCTGCTGAGATTGTGTGCATCTAAAAGATTAAAGGGAACTTTATACAAAAGCTGCTGTTAAAAACCAAGAATAATAAAAAGACCCCTTCAAATATGCTAGACTTCAGCTGCATCCAGCACATACACAGCAAAGCTACAGAGCCCTTCAAGCTCGCGAGTAACTCCTCTCTGTCAGTTTGTGGATCCAGGCAGCAAAACCCTTCAGAAAGCCAGTGACTGATTTGTGGCTTTGCTCTGAGCCGGGTGGCATTGAGTCCTGCTGTGGGCCCAGAAAAAGGTCAGGTCTTCACTTAAAGGCACCTTTGTGATTTCTGGTTGTCTGGTTGGTTGGGTGGGTGTTGTGTTCACGTGCCTCTGAAATGTCAGGCGTGAGGCTGAATGTGTGAAGCACACCCGGAACAAACAGCTGCTCGAATCCTTTCAAAATGCAGCTGCTGTTTCCTGTAGACTTTCATTCAAGGTAAACATACTTCATATTGCCCAAATTGGCTTTATTCCTTGGTGTTTAAGATGTCTTTCCCTCTTCCCTTGTGGTTTCTGTCTAATCCTTTGCGAAATCATAATCTGGATTTATGGCCTCAGAAAGAGTCTCCTCCACAGCAAGAGACTAATGTCGCAGGTGTAGCTTTAAGGTGTTGCTGTGTGAGAAGCTGAGCAAGAGGCTTATTAAACCATGAAACATTATGAGGATGAGCAGGACTAAGCCAAATTTTGGATCATGAATTTCTCCCTGAATGCTCCTAGCAGGCTGCTTCTGTTGTGGAAGGACCTTCGAACCAATAAGCCTTTCTTTCTCCTCTTTCCTTGCCTAACTCGGATGCTTCATTGCCTCCAGCTGCCTTTATAGCTTCTAAAACATTAGGTTTTCAAACTCTTAAGCCTTCTCTAAGTTTTACAAAATCCCCCAGGGTTGCATTTCCTAATTTCCCCTCTGCTCTCTATAACAAGTCAGTTAAGTATTTCTCTGAAATACTGCATTGCCCAGTCAATGTGTCTAACCACCAGTACTGTTTGTGGAAATAGAAGCCATGTGATAATGGTTACAGAAACAGTGAACAGAGCAGGAACAAGAAGTTTCTCTTGTACTTGTGAGTGCTGCTCACAGCACTTAGAATCACTTTTCCTGAACCATGTAAAACAGGGACCGTCATGTCACCTGTGCGTGTAGCTGCCAGAGCTGGCATCTCTCTTGAAAGGAGTTCATAGTAGGACAATACGTATAGGTATTGCCAGATCTTTGGTGAAAATAGGAAAGCCTTTAACTGATGAATAATTACTTTCCAGAACTGGTTAAAAAACCTCTTTCTCTTACAGCTGTGACAGTAACGCACCTTTCTTCAAACAGATGCCGCATTTAGGCAGTTACAGTACATGGAAATCTAATTAAAATGTATGGACTTACTGAATTCATGCTTTTAACACCTGTAGTGTGAAAATCCATTGTCAGATCGAGGGGAGGGCAGGGCTGGGCAGCCCTCCTGCTAACCACCCTGTAACCTGTCCTACACAAAGCGTTTGGAACGAGCTGTGAGTCTCCTAAGGCTGGCAGGGTGCTGCCGAGAGAGGATTAAGCAAATATAAACCCTTGGGGATTTCATTAAGCTCTAGCAGGACTTAGGCTTTCTGAAAAGTAAAACAAAACTTGCACGGTCTGGTGTTTCAGAAGTAGTTAGGGAACTCCAAGCCCAGACAGGGCTGAATTAGGAGAGGCTGAGGGAATTAAACGGTGGGTCTCTTTGATCACGTCAGGCTTGTTTTGATCACTGTCCTTCTCTAACTCTATTCTTGGCTGGTAATACATTTAATTCTTTATGGCTTGACGGGTTTGTGCGCTGCCCGCAGACACTTTTTATTATGGTTATTGCAGAGGTGATCTAGGGGCTGGTTTACACCGAGGAGCATCCCTGCACAGCTGCCTCTGCAAAGAGCTTTTGGGCAGACGGGGGAAGCGCTGCCGGCAGAGTGCGGTGGGTGCCCGGGGCTGCCCCCCCCCCCCCCCCCCAACCCAGCACCCACCTTTCTTTGCACCCAACGTGAAATCACACGTGGTGCTCCCAGGAGCGACCAGCTCCGGCCTGTGTGTGAAACGGGGCGGGATTGCGGCCCCGTGCCGCCTGAGGCCGCGGGTCCCGAGCAGGAGGGACCCTCACCCTGCGGGCGCGAGCAGCCGCAGCGGCACATCTCCACGTGGGAGGGTACCCAGGCGGTCCCTGGGTTGCGGACTGCTCATTTCAAATCTCCTGTGACAGCTTGCCTCCACACCATTTATTATTTTTTTCCTTTCAGAAGGTGCACGGCTGCCTGGCTCTCAGCAGCATCCCAGAGGATGCCTGGCCTGGCTGCCTCTGGGGGGGCTCTGCGCGCCCTCGGGGGTGCCTGGCCTCACCGTGCTCCTCACAGCTTCTCAAACAATTCTCTCTGTGTCCGGCTGCGGAGGCAGCAGAGCTCGAGTCGTGCTCAGAGCAGATGGAAACGGGGCTGGCTCCCGACAGACAGCGAGCTCTGTCAGCTCTGGGCGAGCAAAAGAAAACGGAGATTTATCTGCAGTAGCAGAAGGAAATGTACAGAGCACAGTATGGCCGAAGCACGCGTTTTTGGCAAAGCTACAGCTCATTATTCTTCCATCCAGACCAAATGCCTTAAAACAGTATTTGTCTCCATTTTTCTACTTTCTTTTAAGGAAATGCTTCTTTACAGAGCAAAAAAAGTAGCTTCTTAAGCACAAAGACATTTTTAGAGTGCCTTGCTTAGTGCCAAATGTCAAGAATTTGCCAACAACTGATAAATCTTTTTGAAACCTCCCCGTATATTTCACATGTCTAACTGAAACTTGGCCTTTCCTAACCTGGGGTTGATTTTGATCTCTAACTGAAAATAATAAAAAGGCCTAACTTTGATTCGGCGCAAGGTTTCCTCCTCACCGTCTCGCTGCTGGTCTCCGTTCCCTCTGCCGTTCCGTGGGCAGAGGATGTTTCAGAGCCGTGGTGGGAAGCAATGCTTCTGTATTTCTCCCGGGGACTGAGGAGGCATGGGCTGTGCCCCCCTGCCCTCGCTTGCCCCAATAGCTGGGGCCCGTGGGCTGCTGTCTGCAGGTTTGGGGGGTCCGGGCTCAGGCAGCCCCCCCCCCCGAGCCTCGGCAGCCTGTGTGCTCGGAGGGTTTTTTTGAGTAATTAGAGTAGCTATCTTGTATTTGGGTGAGGCATGAAAACGCTTGAATGGAAAGCATCTCCAGTGTTTATTAATAACTTCCAGATGGACGTTTGGGAGGATGCTGCTTCAGAGATAGAGGGGAGGTACAGATTTCTGCTCATTTGGGTCCCCACTTGTTCAATCTGTTGGAGCTGAGTGGAGGAGTAGAGGAAGCCTGTGTTTAGCTAACAGGGTAAACAAGGGGGGAGTGGCAATTCCTCCATTTTCACCTGGTGATTAGTCACTCTATATAAAAGGTAATTTGAGAAAGGTGCTCTGTGTTCCTTAAAGGTCTGGCCCACACCCTGCTGAGGGGAAGGGAAATTGCTTGCGTCGGTAGGGTAAGGTGATTTATTCTGAACTTGAGTTACAAACAGTAGAAAGTGTGTACTATGTGGATATTTCAATCTTTTCAACCTTCTCTGGATTAATACTATTCAAGCAACTTGTGTGGGAATTTTAGTGGAAAGGTGTAGTAATTGTATTACTCTAATTTAAGACAAGAAAGTAAAACTTCTAAACCAACAGGTTTTTTAATGTAAAAAAATTGTCCTTCTTCTTCTCATTTTCATGAGCAAGATGGCCATTACAGAGCGAGGCATAGTGTTGCGATAATGAATATATTCTTATCCTGTTGAGTGCCAGTGTTCATCCAGGGTGGGAATCTTTCGGGTGGCGACATCTTCAGTGTCTGGGCACATAACGAGGGGGGTCGTTTCATACTGGTTAATGTCCGTTCTGCAAAGCCAGTAACAGGGAAAGAAGGGGTGATAAAAGCGGTTGGCTCAGCTCACCTGCGCTCCCCTGCTCCTCTCTTCCAGACGTGAACGAGTGCGAGGTGGGGAACGGTGGCTGCGAGTCCCAGTGCTGCAACACCATCGGCAGCTTCTACTGCAAGTGCGCGGCGGGCCGGCGGCTGGAGCCGGACGGGAGGGCGTGCGCAGGTAGGACCGGGGGGCCCGGCCGAGCCCCCGCGGCGAGGGGCTGTCGTGACCGCGCTGCCGGCGGAGAGCCTGTCGGGTTTTCCACCTCCTCCCTCCCGACGTCGCTTAGCCATCCCAAGTGCTCTCCTCCTGCCGCACGCTTGTTGGTATCAGCGACGGCCGTAGGAGGGAAGTCTGACCTGGATGGAAGCGGAGTTCTCAGGGTGAGATCTTGGCCCTGCTGAGGGTGATGGTGTATGTTTTATTGCTTTGAAGGAGATGAGATTTATCCTTCGGAGTCTGTATCATCACACTGTTCCCTGTCTTTCACTTTAAATCTTCTGCTTTCAAACCCAAGAGGAAGAGAAGACGCAATTTTGTGTTTGTAAAATGAAAATACGAGGTGGGATCTATATTACACTCATACTCGGATCAAGCCTCGCGTTGTACAGCTGTTTCAGCCTCCACAGCTCGGATCTGTGCTGTTATGCCCTGAGTAGGTTCCCTGTCCCTTTCCCCCTGGAAAAGGAATCTTTTTATCATCTGTGCAAATGCTGTGTGTCCACGTCAGCTGGAGCAGAGAGGCAGAAAAATGCAAAAAGCTATTTGCTTATCAGAGCCAAGAACAAGCTACATTTTTGGGGAGTACATTGCAGTCCCAGGATTCCCCGACAGTGTCAGGGAAAGGCACCTTCACCGGGCTCCTGCAGACCAGGAATCTGAAGCTCACGTATTCCCTAGTGCATCATTAAACCGCCCGCTGCAGGGGGCTCTACTGATGGCTTAGGATGATTGTGTTTCTGTGGAGCGTTTCTCGCCAGGTTTAGGCACTGGTTTGCTTAGCAGAAGTCCAAAAATAGTCAAAATAATTAACAAAGATTGCTGACAAACTGGGAAAGAGTAATTCCTGTGGATATCGGTTTGGACATTAAAGAATTCTGCAGAAAAATGTCACTTTCTTGCCAATTTGGTCCATTTGTCTTGTTTTGTTGAAAATAACTGAAAGTATTTCCTGGCTCTCTACCACTGTAGAGATGTGTGAAATAAACAGCTCTGCCCTTATCTTAGCCAAGCTAAAATATTTTCAGTTTCCCCAGAATTCCCCTGGTGAGGATTAGCTTTTCAGACGATTAAGAGGTTCGGGATTTTGGTGGAAACAAACAATCTTTTTTTGTTGCTTTTTTCTCCCCCTTTTCTTTTAGGGGAGATGATGTGAATCCCTTTGCATATATTCTTGGAATTATTTGTAACTAGCCATGCGCACAGAGCCCACCCATGCCCCTCTTTCCCCCGGGTCACAGTGGAGATGGCAACCCAGCTCAGTCCCCCCTTTGCCTGACTCGGTGCTGGGGCCGTGAGGACTGTACGTGCCATCGTCCTCCTGGAGCTCCTCATTCATTCTGCCTGCGTTTGTTCTTTCTGCAGGTTTTATCATGTGAAAAAAGAGCACAGGAAAGATTAAGCCCTAAATTAACCGAGACCAGAATTTGCATTGGGCCACATCACCCTCATACTCCCATTTTGCTCAAGTATAAATCTCCACGCACCAGCAATGCGGGTGTTAGTTATCCTCTCTGTGGTTTGCACTTCTCCATCTTTACTACTGTGATATTGGGTGGACTCTGCTCTACTCGCCACTTTTTACATTAATTTTTATTTTTACATCAGATAAACTCTTTCCAAATACCCCAAGTACTAATGCATGGATGAAGGAGAGTGGACAGGATTAGATCAGTGTTTGTACAGACGGGGGAGTTTAGAAAAGACAAAAGGCATTGACTAATGCTTACGGTTTCCAAAATACTCAGCTTCTCTTGATCAAAGTCCTGATGGAGCCTGAATAAAGCAGCCTGGGCTCCACAACATGAGGTTAGCTATTTGGAGCCCTTTGTGGGCTCTGTGTTGGACAGGAGGGTTTGGACCTTACATCTTTCCTGAGGGTGGCCTGAGAAGATGAGTCGTGGGTTCAGAGACCGGCAGTTCACTTGCTTCACCCCAGTGACTTGATTCCTGGCTCCTGCCTGGCTTGGAGTGACGTCCAGCTGGCCTCTTCGGAGTCATCCTCTTTGAAGTATCTGCTAAACAAATAGCTACGCAATAACATCAGCAGAATGCTTTGTGTGCAGAGGCAGAAAGCTACCGGGACCCAGTTTGCTCCTAAGGTAGGAAATGTTTTGAAGAAAAAAAATCTAATCTTGGCTATGTGAAGACTTCGTAACCTAACCTCTGTTCAGAAACAGAGGGGTGTTATAGCTCAGGGAGAGCTTGCTGCTTTTCCTGCCCAGAATTAGTGACATGGTTTCACTCTTGGTAGGCATACGGGAGGTGGGGGGATACAACTGCAGGAGCAAGGGGCAAAAAACAGAATTTCTTTCATGCCAGGGTGTTGATTGTATGGCTGGTGACTGAGATCTTAAAACGAGTGTAAAAGTTCTCCTGCAATGCTGCAAAGATATGTGAGAGATTCTTGCAATGTTTGGCTGTCCAGAGCTTGGCACACTTGTCGGGTGCAGTGACAAGTGGAGATGGTCACACGCGACATCTTCTGAGCCACAGGACCTTCCAGTTACCTCCCGCTGCCCACCACGTCCCACCGCGGGAGGGGGTTGGGTGCGTGTCCGTGCACGCTGCTGGCTCAGACCTGGCCTGGTACTTTACTGAATGACTCCTGGCTTGGTCTTACCCATGAAAGAGGCAGACGGGCAGTAGCAGCAGCAGCAGCATTTGGCTCTCCAGTCTGTTTTCACTCCTGAGCTAAAGGGATTATAGTTAGAAAGAAAATCCGCCCTTGGATTTATTCAGTCCTGGGCTGCTTTGCTAATACTACCAGGAAAGGAGCCAATTAGCTCTTGTACCCATCTGGGATCTGTCTGACAAGCTCGCTTAATACTGGCGCCGAGTCCCTGGATGGTACCAGCTCTCCTCTTTATTTACGTGGCTTGAACTTGAGCTAGGAAAGGAATTGCAAGGAAATCTATTTTATACACTACTGATTCTCATATGATTTACCAGTATCAGTAACATACAGCTGACTTGGGTGCTTGTACAGTGTTTGTTTTGTTGAATATCGGATGGTTATACTTGTAACCGTGAGCCTCTCGATTATTTCTGTATTTCTGGTTTTATCTATAGTGGAAGAGCTGTCTGTAGAGTGGTTTGGGGACATTGTGTTGGGTTTTTTTACAGGAAACAAGCAGGTTTTCTTTTTTTATAACAATTTTTGAGGTGTGGCAAATTCCAAGGGTGCTCAAGTTCTGTTTGAACAACATCTTCTTGAGGTTCCACTACACAATGTTACATGATAAAGTTAGAGACTTGAAAGATGAGGAAGCCCGTTTTCTAGATCCATTGGCCACCATCAGTTCAGGTTTAAGTTACGTCTTGGGGAAAGGAGCTAATTTTTAAAGTCTTCCTTCACCTTCAACTTTCTTGTTTTGCTGGAGGAGGTTTTGCAAGGGTCCTGGCTTTTTGCACACACTTTTGGAAGCCTCGATATGCACAAGGTTCTGCTGTAGCGATGGGCGTGATAGAGAGCCCTCAGCCAAGTATGCAGTGGATGCTCTTAGAGAGCATCATAAACCTAAAATCTAAAGCTAAAATCTGATTCTCACAAACTATTGTTTGCTTTATCCTTCTAAGCCCCACTTCACATAGAGAAGCATATCTGAACTTTGGGTAGCCTTCATAGGACAAGGGCATTAGCTTCAAAATTAACCGAAAATTCACATTTTAGTTGGATTGTGTGTAATAAACCTAATTCAACACACAGGGGTCTCCATTTGTTTAATTACCAGCGCACATTTTCCTTACGCACACGCAGAAGGGTTCAAAAATCTCTCTGGAACACATTTCAGCATGCAGCCCATGACCGGTATGTGTTAAATTTCCTGCGCTGTTTGTTTACCCGACTCCTCATCAGCCAGCGTTACAGCACAGCACAAGGACAGGGCGCCCCAGCTGCAAACCCACCGAGTCGAGATGTCATGCCTTAGCAGGTTGGAATGGGAAGTTCCTCTCAGTGTAGACAGACAGATCCTGGTGGTGCCAAACTCTCCTTTGACCTCAGCTGAAAGACTCAGGAGGCAAAAGCGGAGAGTGAACTCCCTAAACCATCGTTGCCCGTGGGAGAGGTAGCCCTTGCTTTGGGCTAGCCTTTAGCTGCAGGTGTGAACTTTCCTCTTCCAGCTTCTGAAAGCATCCCGGCAGGTTGCCCTGGGTTTGTGGCGGACAAGCCTTGGCCTGATGAGGAGTTCAGGGAACTAGTGTGGGCCAGTGAGTCCAGGTACCACTACAGAACACCACACCATGGGAACTTGCCCCTCTTTAAATTCCCTTTAAAACGGTTCAAGAACGGCTCGATGGCTCGTTTGAAATAACTTCCCAACTGGAAGGAAGAAGGAATTCAAACTCTGCAGCTGGAAAAACTAAAAGCCCTTAGCTTTTCCAGTTTCTTCCTCTAAGCTATTCCTGGGGTATCTTCTTTGGTTAAAATTGATGAATCAGGTGAAAGCCCTGCCCGCAGCAGCCCCAGGTATCTGAGGGTGGAAAGCTAAGCCTAGCCAGGCAGAACGTGCCCCATGGAGAAGACGCCGAGCAGGAATCGCTAAGCGCACGTCCACTGCTTGCCCCTCCGTTGTGCAGACACGCGAGCCGGGAGCTGTAAATCTTCTGGCAGCACTCGCATTCCCGGGCAGCCCGGGCGCCTCGTGTGCTTTACACACCCCACGAGGTGATGGCTCGCGCGGTGCTGACCCCCAAGATCAGCCCCCCCCCCCGCCTCAGCCTGTTCCTCTCGGCTCCCCTTCCGCCTTTCACCTCTCGCATTCCTCTGGACTGCTTTCATATTCTCCACTGGGCTACTTCTTTTTAACTGTAGAATCCTTTTTAAAATGTCTGAAGAAACTTGATTCAGGGTTTGGGTAATTTTTGGCTGAAGATTTGAGCACTCTGATTTGCCTAAGCTGGTTGACCCATGTCTGTGCAGGGATGAATTAACTCTGGGACTTAACACACTGTTGAAC